GGGAAACCCGCCCCGGCAGGTGGACCGAGCAGAGACAGCCCTTGTACCGTAATGCCGGGAGAGCAGGCTCACTCCCTCCCCCCTCCCTCCGCTTGCTGCCAGTGTTGCGGGGCTCCAAGCATGATCGCATTTGTGCAATCATTTCCACCCTTGTACCATCCACAGTACAAGTGTGCAAGACGTACAATAGGCACAGCTCCGTGGGTAGATGCGGTGTCTTTTATAAGACCAACCAGATAGATGGGGAAAATGTTCTCTGCAGGCTCTCGGGCACAACCACCCTGCGTCAGACTGAGGGAGCCAAAACGCGGGCTAGGCAGAGCAGGGTCTTTGGAAAGACATGATAGCTTTTATTAGAGCAATTCACTCCTTGGGGAAATTCTTCTTTGCAAGCTCTCCTTCAGACTCTCCCTCTGCCTGAAGAGAGGGGACCTGGTAGCAGAGTACATCAAGGGCTCGGTGAACAACTCTGCAGCAGGGCACCCGAGGGGAAAACCAGGAGTAGTGGCCACAAACTCCTGGAAGATTGATTCAGGCTCAACATGAGGAAAAACGTCTTCACAGTTAGCGTGTCCAAACTGTGGAATAAGCTCCCCCCAGAGGTGGTGCAGCCACCTACCCTGGAACTCTTCAAGAAGAGACTGGACTGCCATTGCTGGGATCACCTGACCCCCAGTTATCTTTCCTGCTTGGTGCAGGGGGCTGGACCAGATGATCTTCCCCGGCCTTACAATCTATGAAGAAGAGTATTTGTGCCTGAAAGCTTGCAAAAAACAATTTCACCAACAATTTAGTTGGTCTAATAAAAGTCATCACATCTGCCTAAAGAATCTGGTCTGCCTGTGGCCTTACACCAACACCCCCAAAATGTAGGATAGTTTCTGAGGCACCCTATTGATGCAGCATGTGCAAAACCAAAGTCACTCTCAGGGAATCTTAACTGACTTCTGACCTGGCTGTCAGCACTTGCTCACGGCTGCTGCCCCCAAAATAAAGAAACACTTGAACTCTGATGACCCAGTTCTCACTCACTCACTGGGACTTCCAGTGAACAATAGAAAGTAAATAAGAAAATGACTTATTTTCATACTAATTTGCATGTTTTTCAGTGTAGCATACTTTTTCAGCAAATAAAATAGCAAATACAATACTTTTGAGCTTCCAATACAATCATTTCATGTTTAAGACCTGGCAACACTGCGGGGTAGGGGCGGGAACGGCTAGATCAGTGTGCTTTGGATTTCAAGCCCCGTGTGGGCGGGATGGAGGGGACTAAGTCCTTGCTAAACTAATGAAAGCCGAGAGGGCCAAAGGCACCGGGGGCTCCAGCCTGGAGGCTGAGTGCTGGGGGGGCAGGAGGACCCACTTGGCTCTGGCATGCACCCAATGGGGCAGCTGAGGATAGCTAAGAGGGAAGCCTTCTTCATGAGAAGGGGAGGGAAGCATGGGAACAGGCCCCAGAGAGGCTGGGGAGTCTCTGTCCTTAGAGTCTGTTAAGACAAAGCCTTGGCTGGGATGATCTAGTTGGGGCTGGTCCTGCTCCAAGCAGTGGGTCAGTCTAGCTCAGTGGTTCTCAACCTTTTTTGTACCCGGACCCACTTGTATACATTAATGGCCAGTCCTGACCCAGTGACCTTCACTCCTGACCCCTGTCCCGTGCCCCCATCGTGTGGGGCAGAGGAGGCCCCCAAGCAGCCCCTTGTAGGCTGGAGCTCTGCCAGCCTGCAAGGGAAAAGCCACCGTTTCCCACATTTTTCTCCTTTAAAGGAGAATCCATTTTAAAACTTTGTTCATGACCCTTTCATGTATTCTTGCAACCAGCTTTTGGGTTGCAACCATGGGTTGAAAAGTGCTGGACTCTAGCTGATCGCCTGAGGTCCTTTCTATCTTCCCATCCCTTTGCAGCCAGGATTCTCAGCAGAGCTAGGACATTGAATAGGGGAGTGCAGGGGGTGGTACATCCCCCTCAATAACAACACAACAGGTTTTTCTGGGAGGACCTAGCATTGGGTTCTTTTATGAACTTTGTTTGCAAGCTGGCTGGGGGGAGGGAGGCATCACAAAATGACACTAGCAGGTACTAAGTTTGAAAATCAGTTGGCACGTGCATAATTTTTGCTGGTTTCCTTACTGCTCAGCCTTCAACTGTCTTGGCTGCCCCCCAAAATCAAAAAAGCCCCCCCCCCCCCATTTAGGTCACACAGAATTCCCCTTACTTGGAGACGCTATGAGTTGTCCGATTGATGCATGGGCCTAAAATATGGGGCTTGGCATAGCATGCCAAAATGAGACACAGTGCCTTGCAGCTTTCAGCCCCAGCACTGGTCCAATGTGTTTTGGGGCCCATCACATCCTGCCATGTGTCAAGATGAAAAAAAAAGTTTCCTCATGCTCACCAGGGACACATTTCATGGTTGAGTCTCTGGGCCCACACTCAAACTTGAACTCATAACCCTTCCACCAGTAGTTTAGCTCAGGACAGCATCGTCTGTGGACATACACAGGTCCTGCTGTCTGCCACAGGACTTAGCCACGGGAAGTCACTGTAGCTGTGGCAATATGCACACCACATTACATATTGTCAAGGAGTTTGAAAGGAACAACAGGGAATTCTTTTTCACACAGCAAGTCATTCAGGTGTGGGGCTCCTTGCCACTAGATGTGGGGGAAGCTGACAGTTTAGTCCCATTAAAAAAAAAAGGATGAGAAATTCTTGGGGGAAAGGGGTATCGGTAGCTACTGAGCATTGGAGCGAGGGGCACAGCCTCTGCATCAGAACTTCCTAGACCTCAAATACTGAAAGCTGTCCATGAGAGAGGAATGGTGGAGGGAAAAAAAACGATGCCTGGTTATCCCCAGTTCACTCTCCCTTTCAGCATCCACTGTCTGCCACTGTGCAACAGGCCTGTTTGACACATATTGGGGACATGGGCCTTAGCCCCCCACCCCCATCGTTAATAGAGAGGACTATTGGATATGTGTCAACTGATTACTTGGGACAACAGTAGAACAAAGCAGGGACAGGAGTAAAGGTCATAGGTTAAAAATGAGTGCATGGAGGGGGTCACACTGAGTCTAGCACACTAGAAAATGCTTACTGGCACCCTAATGAGTCTAAGGAGCCAGCAGAGCACTGTGTGATAGGCCTGTTTGTTATACCATTTTCATAGTTTCATAGTTGGTAGGGTCAGAAGGGACCTGAGGAGATCATCTAGTTCGACCCCCTGCCATGGCAGGAAAGAGTACTGGGGTCAAACAACCCCGGCCAGATGTTCATCCAGCCTCCTTTTAAAGACCCCCAGGGTAGGAGCCAGCACCACTTCTTTTGGAAGTTGG